CGACCACGGCGGCGCCCACGACCACGGCGGCGCCCACGACGACGGCGGCGCTCGCAACCACATCAGCGCCCACGACGACGACGGCGTCTACGATGACGGCAGCGCCCACGACCACAGCAGCGGCCACGACGACAGCAGCGCTCACGACGGCGACAGCGGCGCCCACGACGACGACGACGGCGGCGTCTCCCACCACACCGGTCCCGCCTGCGCAAGTGAGGGCGTTGGTGACTGTTGACGCACCCAGCGTGCCACCCTCCGCGCTCAACACCATCGCGGATGCGTTCTTCCAGGAGCTCTCTCCGACAATGCCAGGGCTGCAGCGGAGTGACGTCGAGGCCAGGGTCGCGGGCGCTGCGCGACGCCGGCTGCTACAAGGAGTGCAGGTGGAGGTGGTGGTGCGCGTGGCAGCTGGCGAGGCAGCGGCCCAGGCGGCAATGTCGAACCTCGAGACGCGAACGGGTGAGCTGCAGGCAGCGATGGCACAGGGGGGGGTTGTCGCTTCCGTCACGTCCATCGCGGCGGCACCCATTACGGCGGCGGCAGCGTCCACAGCGCCGCCCGCGACCACAGCGCCGCCCGCGACCACAGCGCCGCCCGCGACCACAGCGCCGCCCGCGACCTCTGCCGCACTGTTCGGGGAGCGGCCCGGACCAGTCCAGTCCGTGCCCGAGGCGTCGTCTGGCACCCCGGTGGCCGCCATCGTGCTGGGTGTGTTGGGCGGTGCTGTCGTCATTGCTGGCATAGCGGCGGCTGTTGTGGTCGGTAGGATTCGTCGCACACGTAGGTTGCAACGAAGTTACGCGCTGCCCCCGCTGGCGAGCTGAAGTCGCGAACGTTTCGCGTCGCCGGTGACGAGAAGGGCAATCGTAAGTGATGGGGGCGCCGACTCGGCCGTACGCGCACATGGGCGGGGGTTCTGTGCGTGAGACCGTGAAAAACAGTCAGCCATCTTCAAGAACGTCGTGCAAGCGCTCGCCGATAACGAAGGCAGACGTCCAGCTGACCCGGGCGCGTCCGGTCGAGCGGGCACCCCTGGCCCCAGCAACGACGGCAACGGGCCGGGGGCAGCGGCGCCCGAGGGGCTCGAGCTGCACCACGTCGTGGACAGATGCGCTCGCGCAGCCACCGGTGTTTGTCCAGTTGACTCTGGCCGTGCCGCGCCTGTGCTGGGTGTGCGCCAGGGAGCCGGCTCTGTTGCCAAGCAATGTAACGCATCCTCGCTGCTGCTGGACAGCCCGAACCTTGCGCGGATCGAATCGACCTGCTGATGGCAGCCTGACTGCCCGACGGGTCCCGAGAGCGGCCTTTCCTGCGACCCACGCATGACAGCAAGCTTGTTGTTTGTTCGCACCTCTCAAAGTCCGCAACCCTGCCCCCGAGCGTCCATGACCCGCGCGGCCGTCACGGCCCGCGGCGCGACAGCGACGCGGCGCGCGCGCGCCCATGGCCCGGTACTCCCGGGACGCAGATTGCAGCTCGCAGCACACTATTAAATGTAGTGCCCTGTGGCAGTGACCGTGGGACCCTGGGAGGTGAGCCAATGGGGGCGGACGGGCCGCGGGGGCCAGGGGGGCGGAAGCGGTGAGGCAGGGGCCGTGGTCAAACACGCCGCCAGGCGTGACGGGCAGAGAGCGGCACGCGAGCGACGCGCCAGATGCCGCAGCCGCGCGGCGTGCGGCCCCGACGGCGCGCGGCGCGCATGGGCCTGGCCGTGTCGTGCAGGGGCCGATATGTGTCGGCGACGCCCCGGCGGCGGAGGAGGGGGGGTTTTGTTTGAACACCCCGCGGGGTCTGTCCCGCCCATAGGCCGCGCGGCGCGGTTCCAGGGCGTCGTTGATGCACGGCGGCGCGTCGGGGAGCGTGAAGAGTGCGGTGACGGGCCGGGAGGGATCGTTTGACGCGCGGCTGTGGCCAAAGGCGTGCTCACGGCCAGCACAGGCTGTCGAGGCTCCGCGCGGGAGGAGTGCGTGGGCACCCCAGGGATACGAATCTGTCGGCTGTGGATAGCCTGACACGTATACGACATGAGCGGCAAGAGGCGCTCGATTGCCTCTCCGTCAAAGTCGCCGCCAGTACGCGAGCGCAAGAAGCGGAAGGAGGCAGCTCTGGTTCCCGCCGAGTGATCGAGTGCCAGGCGGCTGAAGCTGCTTCGCCAGGACAATCAAGACATATTGGACCTCCTGAAGAAAGTTCACGACGAGCAGGGCACGCAGGCTGCGGATGTGGAGGACGTGTTCGAGGAGCTCCAGGAGCTGCGGAAGGAGCTGCGGGAGGCGGTCGAGGCGCACAAGGCGCAGACGGCGATGCTGCGCAGCCTGCTCGAGGAGTTCAAGGGGGCCAACGCGGCCAGGGAGAGCGCCGCGCTGGCGAGCGCGGCCAACAAGCAGCAGACGCAGCGGGCTTGCGACTGCCTCGTATCGGCCGCGGTGCGCACGCGGATCGCACACCGGCTCGCTTCTCACGTGCTCTCGCGACCACCGCGATCTGCCTGCTCGGGGGGACCAGCTGCGCCCGCGAATTGCGATGTCACCAGCGCACGTGGCACCGATCCCGCCGCCCATCGTCCCGCCGGCGCAGGAGGTGAAGCAGCTTGTCGTGCAGCTCATGGACGTGGGCATCGCGGATGCGTTCGGCGCGCTGCTGCGCGAGCGCGGGAACAGCGGGCCGCTGCTCCGGATCCCGGCGAGCGCCGCATCGCACCTGCAGGAGCGGATCGCGTGGCCGAACCTCTTCGCGCTGGTCTCCACGGAGACATTCACGCGTGCGGAGCCCCAATTCGTCAAGGAGCTCAACAGAGAGGGCAAGTCGGTGCGTTCGAACCCGTCAACCACCCCCCTTGCTTCAAATTGCCCGACGACCCCTCTGCGCCAGCCCGCCGCGAAACGTCACCCCCCGTCGCGCCTCGCACGTACAATGCAGCTGAAGCGCCAGACGGAAAAGTACCGCCACGTGGTGACGAAGACGATCCGGGAGGGACTGGCGCTGTATCGCCACACCGAAGTGGAAGGTGCCCTGTTCGAGTTCCTCCTCAAGGCCCACGTCGCGCTGGACGCGGAGGCCGACGCTGACCAGGACGACGAGCAGCAGGTGACGGCGGAGCTCCAGGCCACGGAGGCCGTGACGCAGAAGCATGCGTCGGCGCTTGCGTTCACAACCGCGCACCTGGGCTCCGACGGCACGCTGGTGATGGGCGAGGGCGCCCTGCTGGAGTTCGTGCGCCAGCACGTCAAGGAGAGGCTCACGAACTGGTCGTGGGGCGGGGAGCACGCGTTCGAGAAACTGACGCCGGCCGTGCTGGCTCACATCCACTACGAGGTGCGCATTCCACTCGCCCGACGGCGAGCGCACAGGACAGCAGCCGCGCTCTGCGCACGTTGCCGTGCGTGCGCGGCGCAGGCAGTGCGGCCTCGCAACCCGCATCGGCCGCTGCGTTCGCAACTGCGCATGTGCGCACCCGCGAAACACCCTTCGGTCGCCCGAGGCGTCCGCCGCCGCAGGTGGATCGTGCATTCATCGCACGCGGCGACCGACCCCGGCGCGGGCAATCTGGATCGGACGAGAACCGCGTCGTCGCGAGCTGTGCCTGGGCGAGGCAACACAGCGCGCCGAACGGTCTCATCCGGAGCGGCACTGGCTTTCCGGGCGGCATGGGCCCCTTCCCGGCCGCGCGCATGCTCGCCAGCACCCACGGAGGCGACGTGCAGGGTGCGCCGGCGCTGGTGAGCGGGCCCCACCTGTTGCATGCCTGTGCTTGTTGCTCGGCGCTCGCCCGCGCCTCGATTGCCTGCTGCTACGCGCCCGGGGATGCCACGCCACATCTGCCTGGTGCTGCACTCTCCCCTAAAGGCGATCGCGACCCCGCCGACGTGTCGTGTGGTGTTGTTGTCTGCTGCGCAGGGGCCCGACGAGCCGATCACCGCCGACAACGACCCGGCGTGCGAGGACGTCCCCGAGGGGCAGTGCGATCTCCGCGACTGCAAAGCGCGCGACGGACAGGTCGCACGCGGGCCGCACACGTGCTCGCGGTGCTCCCTTCGGTACCACCACCTGTGCGCCGGAGACGATGAGTGCCCGCGGTGCGCCAACGCGCCGATCGCTGCGCCGCCCATGATCGTCCGGAGGGCGCTGTGGCGCATCGACGCGTCGGCGGCGCTGGAGCTCGCGCAAGCAGAGCGCGGCGGTGGCGGTGGCGGTGGCGGTGGCGGTGGCGGTGGCGGTGGCGGTGGCGGGCCAGCAGCACCCGCAGCGGCCCCAGCCCCCCCGACGCCTGCAGGACGCATCGAGGGCTCATGCGACTTCCGCCTCTGCCAGGGCGAGGCCGCGGCGGGGACGTCCGAGGCCGAGCCAGAGGTCTGCGACAAGTGCGGCGTCAGTCTTCACCGCACTTGTCGTGAGGCATTGGTCACGGAGGTCGTCAAACAGCTGTTCGACAAAGCCCGGGAGATCTACGTCAATGCCGAGGGCGACAAGGTGACGACGCGGATGGCATGGACGGAGGTGGACAGCCTCTCGAAGTGCATTGTGTACGTCGTCGCCCCCCCCCCTCCGGCGCGCGCGCGACCTCCTCGACGGCGCGACACCATGCAGCGTCGCGCTCCGGTGTACCTGCACGGTCACACATCATCATGCCCCGCGCGCCCTTGCCGACGAGCTCGTCGCGCACAACCACAGTGCACGACCGGCCCTTGCAGGTGCGAGTCCATGCGCGGCGGCAAGGGCAACAAGGCCCTCTTCAAGCTGGAGGACCACCTGGCGTCCGAAGCTGCGCAGCGGGCGCGAAAGCGCAAGGCGGCGCCGAAGGCCACGGCGGCGCCGAAGCCCAAGCCCACGGCGGCGCCGAAGCCCAAGCCCAGGGCGGCGCCGAAGGCCAAGCCCAGGCGGGGGGGCGGGCGCGGGGGGCACAGGTGAGGCGCGCGGGCGGTGCCTGCAGTGCCGGAGGGGCCGCGAGGTGAGATGCCTCCGTGCACGCCCCGCCGCGTGGCAGCGTCGCTCGCCGCGGACGCCCGACGACGCGCGCTCCCGGTCTACGGGACGTCTCGAGGCTCGCGGGCGCGCCGCGCAGCGATCGGCGCGCAAGCCGTCGATGATGATCAGAGCAACTGCAACAACACACGCGCTGCGGGTCGGCACCGTCTGAACTCTCGCGGAGCCCCTTGCACGTGCGCAGGGGACGAGCGTGGGAGCCGGCGGCAGGCGCGCCCCCGTCCCCGCTCGCCCGCCAGCCACTTGCGCGCGTGCCCCGCGCCTTGTGTGCCCCCCCCGCTGCACACCGCACACAGCCGAGCCCGTGCCCGCGCGCAGGAACGTCGAGAGAGCGAAGACCTCGCTCAAGTGAAGCGAAGGCGCGCTGCCCCCCTCGCACGCCTTCGCGCGCACACGCCGCAAGTCACGCCTGCCGCTTGGGCGCAGTGCCTCGTGCTCCGCCGCCCCTCGCACAACCCCGGCTGAACCCGCGCGGCCCTGCGCAGGCCATGATGGAGGCAAGGAGGGGGCAGGGGAGCCGCAGGGTCGCTGCGACGCAGGTGGTCGCGCCGGGACGGCGGCGCACGGCGGCGGCGGCGGCGGCACGGCGCACCGGGGTATTTTGCCAGAGGCCACCCCTCAGGGGAGGCCGAGACAACGGGCCGAGCCTCGGCCCGAGCATTGGACTCAGGTCCAACGAAAATGCAATTAGGGTGAGGTGGTGCGGTTGGCTGCTGGATTTAGGTGGCAAGGGCGAGGTCCGTTGGCACCGTGAAGCGCTTTGTGCGCAACGAGGTCACAGGAGACGTGGGCGTCGAGGTCACACTCGCACGACCAACGGGCACCGGAGAATGGGTGAAGTTCGACTACATGACCAGCAGCATCTAGCACGTGTTCATGACAGTTCATGCACAGCAGAATGAAAGTGTGCTCGCACAGCCAATGTCCGCTGCACGCTGCGTACGCAACGACGGTGCACATAAAGCAGGGCAACACGATCGCGGCGCCGCGGGCGGTGTTCCTGCACATGAGCACGGCGTTCGCCCCGGGCCACCTCTACGTCGCACTGTTCGGGCGCGGAGGCAAAGCAGCTGCGCATGGTCTACTGGGACCGCAAAGCGTACAGGAGAGCCATCGAGGCCAGCCGGCCCAGCCACCGAGCGCTGGAGGCCATTCGCGAGGCCTTGCAGCGAATGCGCCAGCAAATGGAATCGATGTGAAATGCAACCAGGCCGAAACATGTCTGGCACCAGCGACCAGCGACTCGCCTCGTCTCGCCAGCGCAGCTAACGACCCGCCGACGTCGACGGTGGTCCTGCCAACGCCGCCGAACACGCGACACCGAATAACGAGACATCCCGCACTCCACCAGGCCACACTGTCACGGAGTACATCGCCAGAGCATCGCCGCGTTGCAGACGTGGGCGCACACAGGATCATGCACTTCTTCGCACGCCCAGTGGTGGCAGTCAGCTCCGCGCCTCACAGGAAGACGAGCAAACCTGTCCCACCGCCAACACCCACGGGCCGCGCGCGAGCCCGGCAGGGCAACATCGTCCTCTTCAGGCAGCACATCGGCACACCACACGATCCACAGCACTGAGAGCCTCTCAGCCGGCGCTCGCAAACAGCGAGCAGCACGCCACAGCGCCTCAGGCACACCCACAAAGTCAACCGCAACCGCGGCGCCCACGCGGGACCGCCGGACCAACGGCGAAGGATTCCTGGGAAACCCGGCCAAGTATCGCGAGCTCGAGGTTGCAGTCGGCGCCATTCGACGCGTGCGGCGACCTGACGTCGGCAGAGCCGAGCCGAGCAAAACGCGAAACGGGCGCGAAATTCGGGGCGGCGCCAGAGCCAAGGGCCACGAAATCGACACGCAGGCCCAAGCGGCGTCGGAGGAACGAGCGGAGACCGCCATCCGCGTAGCGCGGGAGGCCCGCGAGCGACATCGGCCCGGCGAGCTAGGAGAGGAGGGGCGCGCGGGCGACGCCGGCGGCGCAGAGGGGAGCAAATAGGCGAGACAGGCGGCCCGAGACGCATAGTAGCCATCGCGAACGGCGAACCCGGCAGACGGCGAGCAGCCAGGTCAGGGGGATGGGGGAGTTTCGGGCACTATATTGGAGTGGCCTCCCGAGACAACGGGCCGACCTGCGGCCCGTCACTGTACTCAGCTTATACGAGTGCTCTTGGCGGACCGTGGCGGTTCGGTGTGAAGAAAGTCTTGGTGGACAGGGCCAGGCCGGTGCAATAGGGGCGCGGTGCTATTACCTGTGTCTGTGGCGCCGGTTGGTTCGGTTTGGCGATGTATCTGGAGCCTACGCTGTACAACAAGTACAGAGGCCTTGGCGCCGCGTACATGGAGCCGTATGGGTTGCCCTGGATCGTGCGCGAGAGCGCTTCCCTTTGGTGGGAGGCCAAGTACGAGGAATTCGACGACATCGCGCCGGTTGGAGAGACGCCGTGGGCGGACATTCGGTCAGTGATCTCGGACGATGGGTACGACATCGTTCGCGAGAGCGAGAGCTTCATTCGATGGGTGGAGACTGGCGTGTGCAACAAGTCGCGGACGCTGGCGCCACACTGCGGCCCGTGGCGACACGGTGGCAGTGCGTTCACGGGGTGGTGGATCGCGATTCGCCCTTACATCGACGGGCCGGGCGCCATTCGTTCGTCGGTGCGGCTGGGCGACCTGTGTCTCGACGCGGTGCAGCGACGCGTGGCAACACCAGCGGGTCGCGGTCGCTCGGTGTCGCGTGCCGAGGGAGCCGTGGAGGCCTGGGTGATGGCGAAGGTGTCGTCGTACTGGGACGGGACGTTCATCCTGCCAGACGTGAGCATGCGCAAGCTGCAGGGCAATACGTGCCGTGCTGACGTCGTCTGCGAGCCGAAGACGTGGGCGGTCGTTCACGTGAAGCGAAGCGTACAGGAGAACCATCGAAGCCAGCCGGCCCGGCCACCGAGCGCTGGAGGCCATTCGCGAGGCCTTGCAGCGAACGCGCCAGCAAATGGAATCAATGTGAAATGTGGCCGAAACATGTCTGGCACCAGCGACCAGCGACTCGCCTCGTCTCGCCAGCGCAGCTAACGACCGGCCGACGACGACGGTGGTCCTGCCAACGCCGCCGAATGCGCGACACCGAGTAACGAGACTTCCCGCACCAGACGACACTGTCACGGAGTACATCGCCAGAGCATCGCCGCGTTGCAGACGTGGGCGCCCAGAGGATCATGCACTTCTTCGCACGCCCAGTAGTGGCAGTCAGCTCCGCGCCTCACAGGAAGACGGGCAAACCTGTCCCACCGGCAAAACCCACGGGCCGCGCGCGAACCCGGAAGGGCAACACCGTCCTCTTCATGCAGCCCATCGGCACACCACACGATCCACAACACTGAGAGCCTCTCGGCCGGCGCTCGCAAACAGCGAACAGCACGCCACAGCGCCTCAGGCACACCCACAAAGTCAACCGCAACCGCGGCTCCCACGCGGCACCGCCGGACCAACGGCGAAGGATTCCTGGGCGAACCGGCCGAAAGACGCAAGCTCGGACTCGCTGTCCGCGCCATTCGACGCGTGCGGCGACCTGACGTCGGCAGAGCCGAGCCGAGCAAAACGCGAGGCCGGCGCGAAATTCGGGACACCGCCAGCGCGATTGGCCACTGAATCGACACGCAGGCCCGGAAGGCGTCGAAATGAGGCGCGGGAGCCGCCGTCCGAGGAGCGGGCGAGACCCGCGAGCGGCATCGGCCCGGCAAGCTGGCCAGAGAGGGGCGCGCGGGCGACGCCGGCGGCGCTGGGTCAGGCGAATGAGCGGAACAGGCAGCCCGGGACGGCAACAAGGCATCGCGGTCACGGGGGGAGCGAGGCAGCACCGAGCCAAGTCAGGATGGGGGGGAGTGTTTCGCTGGCATATACTGTGTGGCCTCCGCGTACGGCCACGACATACCGAGACAACGGGCCGACGTGCGGCCCGTCACTGTACTCAGCTTATACGAGTGCTCTTGGCGGACCGTGGCGGTTCGGTGTGAAGAAAGTCTCGGTGGACAGGGCCAGGCCGGCAAGGGCGAGGTCCGTTGGCACCGTGAAGCGCTTTGTGCGCAACGAGGTCACAGGAGACGTGGGCGTCGAGGTCACACTCGCACGACCAACGGGCACCGGAGAACGGGTGAAGTTCGACTACATGACCAGCAGCATCTAGCACGTGTTCATGACAGTTCATGCACAGGAGAATGAAAGTGTGCTCGCGCAGCCAATGTCCGCTGCACGCTGCGTACGCAACGACGGTGCACATAAAGCAGGGCAACACGATCGCGGCGCCGCGGGCGGTGTTCCTGCACATGAGCACGGCGTTCGCCCCGGGCCACCTCGTACGTCGCACTGTTTGGGCGCGGAGGCAAAGCAGCTGCGCATGGTCTACTGGGACCGCGAAGCGTACAGGAGAGCCATCGAGGCCAGCCGGCCCGGCCACCGAGCGCTGGAGGCCATTCGCGAGGCCTTGCAGCGAATGCGCCAGCAAATGGAATCGATGTGATGTGACATGTGCAACCAGAAACATGTCTGGCACCAGCGACCAGCGACTCGCCTCGTCTCGCCAGCGCAGCTAACGACCCGCCGACGACGACGGTGGTCCTGCCAACGCCGCCGAACACGCGACACCGAATAACGAGACATCCCGCACTCCACCAGGCCACACTGTCACGGAGTACATCGCCAGAGCATCGCCGCGTTGCAGACGTGGGCGCACACAGGATCATGCACTTCTTCGCACGCCCAGTGGTGGCAGTCAGCTCCGCGCCTCACAGGAAGACGAGCAAACCTGTCCCACCGCCAACACCCACGGGCCGCGCGCGAGCCCGGCAGGGCAACATCGTCCTCTTCAGGCAGCACATCGGCACACCACACGATCCACAGCACTGAGAGCCTCTCAGCCGGCGCTCGCAAACAG